AATTTTCAGATGCCTCATTCATCAGGGCCAGACTAAATCACACATTTAATCTCAGATTTAGTCTGGTTTATCAGGCTACACACCATCATCTTTACCAAGCTAGTCCTCATGGGAAATGCAGTCTTCTTCAGGAAAAATAATATAGCTTTTCCCCACTGGGGGGAGCCACTCAGACAAAACAGAGTCAATTGCAGAATGTGACAGTTACTATGAAGAAGGGAGTCAGTTGATTTCCTTAAACCTAAGAACACAAGATCTACCAAAAGGGTAAAACCTCCAAATTCCCCCAAAATGTAAAAGTTTAATGGTCAAAAATTGCACATTATTAGATCTCCTAGCAGTTCCTAGATCCCCACCAGGTTTTGGGATCATTTCCAGCATGTTAGACAGCTGTTTTTAGCCTCCGGAAACAGGCCATCAATATGAAACAGCCCTCTCAAAGCTCAGCAAAATTAGAATCTAGGTCCAGTGCCAGGAAACAAATACCCCCTTCCCACTGGCTGAAAAACCAGTTTAAACCTGGGAACAATCAGCTTTTAGTGGCAGTGGAAAAAGCTCACCGATGCGTGTCTACATGGGTTAACGACTCGGCAAGCGACCAGTATTAAAACCACCTCGGCTCCTGAACAGCATGCAGTGGAAACACCAGACCTGGGTTGACTCGCTACGTGACACCATTGAACGCAACGTACGGATGTCAACACGCCGCGCCGGCCGCTTCTAATCCAACAAGCCAAAACTACTTTGTTTACATTCGATAAACATGTAGCATAAACATGTGGGAGGGATTTGGACAGATATAAGAGTTAAATAATAAAAAGTACCGACTACACTCTGGCTGCCGTCCATGTTGCTCTCCATTATTTACTTCCCTGATTTCCGTGGCACTTTCGACATTATCAATGCTCACTCAGCATGATGCCGTCATCAGACACACAGCAATGGGGGACAGCCGCCACACAATTTGCCAGCAGGGGATCAGACTTGGCTTTTTTAAAAGAGCCAAAAGCCGATTGTTAGCGAGTCAATTCAGTTTTGGAAAACCCAGAGTGTTTTTTTGGGAAAGTGATCAAAATTAACTCCTCCAATTCTGTACGGAATAAAAGCTTAAGGCTCAGCATTGATAAAAAAATATTGCCAAAAGCTGGTTGATGGAAAAAAAAAAAAGCTACATGGTGGAGTTTGAACTTGCTAAATTAAATTTAACAAAATCGGGTGTTCAGTAGTAGTTTTAATTAGTAGTTAAATATATAAGCCTGAAACCTTAAGAATCCAATAATTCCCACTCAGATAAGAAAAATTCTGTTTTTGTTTTCTTCATCCTTATACTGTCATTTCCTGCTTAAAGGTAAAGTTTCTCACTTCAACAGAGCTGCAGCCGAGTTGGCGGTGATGGTCTGGGCTGGGATTTCAGGCAAGCCAGCTGACTCTGTGGGGGCGAACTGGGTGTGGTTAAAGGATGGGAATCCTGGGGTGTAGGGGTCCCCAGAACCAAGATGGACCTGAAATTAAACAATAAATAATTATGGACATTTTCTTACAGTTGTGTATATTTGATTGAATATGTTAAATACGTACATGTCCATAGAGCTCAGTCTCTGTAACCACGTTGTAATCTTCAGTGTCGAGGTAGATCAAAACAGCAGAAGCTCCCATCCTGGCAGCATTGTCCACCTAGGAGACCAAAATAGATCCTTATCAAAACATTCCAACACCTTCCTCAAGAAGACATACGATAAATAACTTTGTGTCACAACAGTAGTGAATCCAGACATACCTGTTGTGCCAAAGTGATCTTTCCAGCTCTCAGCAGCAGAACAGAACCTTTCAGATTAACTTTCCGCTGCACAAAGTCCAGATCCTCCTGACGGCCGTAGTTTCCATACACCAGAGGGCCCTATAGACGCAGACAGCAGCAAAAGTCCCAGATGAAACATATAGCCAAGCGGCTGCATCAGGTTAACCTTTTTAAACACCAGAAGCGGAAAAGTTCTGATCCATTGGTCTCTGATAAACAGCTGTTAGCAGAGCTCCTGTGGTGGCTGGTAGCTAAGCTAATCCATGAGCAAACGTCTGTTTTTACAATAAAATATAATGCATTAATGTTTTTTTCTGTTTTAGAGTACAATGCTGAAGTTGAGATAAATAGATTGTTTTTTTTTATCCTGTTTGGGAAGAAAAATACACGTTTAATTTCACTAAAGGTGAGAAACGTACTTCTGTGTAATTAAACAAAAGAAATTCTAGCAAAAGCTGCAAGGGTTGTTTTTTCTGCAGCATTTACAGAAATGTAAATAGTATAAAGAGGTTTAAAAACTGTCATAGATGTCAACTTGAAACATGTCCTTTTCTTTTTTTATACAGTTTTTATTTTTGTTACAATTTTTAAACCAAATAAAATGTTTCAATTCATTTTCTTTTATTAATGTTTCTGGTATTATCAGAACTAATGGCAATATATTCAACATGTATGTCACTTGTGAATTGCAAATTTGATTTTTTATTGTCTGATAAGTACTGAATATAAAAGGAAGTCACTTATATTTATTGAATCTATCCTACTATTCTATTTTAAGCAGGAACTAGTATACAGACATGCTATAATAAATAAAATGTTTACTAAATGTCTCCTGTATGAAACTCATTCGTTTCATTTATGATGCAATCACTTAAAATGCAATTATTTTTCATGTTACAATCTTTACTTGCATTTATCTGTCCATTAAATAAAAACACTGGAAAAATACAGCTAGAACATCAAAGTATTATGACGACATCTAATCAGCAGCAATAAAACCTAATTGTTACCTGATAAAAATGTTTTTATTATTTATATTTATAGACCATCAAAGCATCACCTCTCAGATCTGAGATCATCTATGGGTTTTATGGTGTAATTAAAAGAGGAGGTTTGAAAATAATGACCAAATCTTAGATGTAAAACAAACACCTAAAGTAGTCCTTAATAGAAATTTGTAGGCGATTGAAAATGTGAGGATTTAATGCATGTCTAATAATAACCAAAGCTGTTCTGTAACCGTTTTAAATGGCTATAAGCCAACTGGCTGGTTTAGCAAAGCAAAATCCAATTTAACATATTTAAACCTTCGTAATGAGGTCTAAATCCTGCAGCCGAGGTGTCAGCACACCTCTAGGGTTAAGACCGTCTCAGATCTCTAACTCTAGAGCCTTAGAAGCACAAACATCACACCCAACCCCTGCATCTGGGAGGGAAAACAATAATCCTCAGATGTTTTTGGTTAAACATTAATTCTCACCTCGACTCTGCCAGGTTTGCTGTAGGCCAAATATCCTTTAGGTTTAAAGACGTCAGAACCAAAGTAAACAGTGTTGGGCATCTCGCTGTAAAGAAGAAAGAAGAAAAGGCTTTTAATCTGTGATTCTACTGCAGAATTCCTAAAAAACCTTTTCTGCAATGAGTTTCTAACAAGGAAATAAGTTTAATGCAATTAATGCTTGTAAAATCTAAATGTGAAAATGCAGCGTTTGTTCGATTTCCTTTGCTGCTTTAAGGAAATCGAACAAGCTGTGTGGTTCAATGAAATAGAAACCAGACAAATCAAAAGGCAGACCTGTTGGGCATCTGCAGCTGAACGTAATGGATGTCGGTCCAAGGATGCATCCCCAGAGTCTGGAATGTCGAGAAGATCCCATTGGCCAGTTTCATATCTTGATCACTTCCTGCTGACCGGGTCGGCTCATCAAATTTCCTGCACAGAGAGGATGTTTTCACTTTTTTCTTCCAGTCAGGCTTTAGCACACAAACTTATCACAACTCTACACATTCTGCAGCCTTATGACTTATCTATACAAATATAACATGTTTTTTTACTCTTTTGAAATGTCTTCAAATTTGTATCCAGGTATCAAACGGATTGTGGTTTTTTCGGGGAATCTGATGCCCTAAATATCTTTCAGATATTATTCATTTGAAGAGTGAGGTTTCCGTAATGAATCGGCTTGCAGGCCTCAGTGTTTGCATGCTGAGCTCTTTTCTCAGTTTCAGTGTCAAAATAACCAAATCTAAGTAATCTGAAGGGTTACAGATCCAGAACCTACTTAAGAGTCTGTTCAAAGTTGTTGCTGCTGAGTTTGCCTTTCAGGAGCCGAGTGAGGTCATTCCAGGATAGAGAGGCTTCTGGAGGGGGCACAGCCTGCGTCGGAGCGGCTTTCGCTGGAGTCGTGGTTTCACTCTTCATCCCCTGTCCGCAGTCAGGCTCCACCTTGGGTTTATGATGGCTGATGAAACCAACTAGGTAGCCTGAGGAGAAGCAGTCAGGGCAAAAGAGATTCAGCCAGTTATGATGAGAGCAAGACAAAAATGAAAATAAAAACAAATATGGACAGAATTTAGGTTTAAATAACTGTATGCCTCAAATAACCCAAAGAGAATAAAAATAGAATCCATCCCAATAATTATTAACCTAGAAATTGGAAAAGTGGAAACCTTTATAGCATAATGGTGTAAAGAAATAATATAATTTAACCCTTTCTGACCTCAATTGTTGGCAATGCAACACATCAGGCACTCAGTTCATCTTTAATGTAGTAGAATGTAGGAGTGAGAACTGGCAATACACGTCACGATACTTGGGTCATGATATCAGATCACGATATAATATTTTACCCAGCTATTAAAATTAAATTTATAGATAAAAAAGAAAGTGCTGTATATGTTCATCAGAATCCATGTTGTCTGGGGTTTCAGTCTCAGACCGTTTCTCAATAAGTGTGCTTGTGCGTTCTGATGTGCTCGTGCACTAGTGAAACGTCATCAGCCTCGGCCCTAGTACTCCAACTCACAAGAACAGCAGACCAAGACGACAAAGTCCCCAGATGTTGTTCTCGCCCCTCCCTATTTACCCAGCATGCATCAGAGCAGACTTGTCCGTTCTGGAGATTGACAGCTGTCCCAGCATGCACTGCAGCAGCAGCAGCTTTAAATGAGGCGCTCCATTAAAAGTTAAAAGTTCTCTTTTCTGTTGCTGTTGTTCAATAAAAGTACATTTTAAGATGATTTGAGGTGAGAATATTGTACTTTAAAGCATCACTATATGGTCCATTTACCGATTTAATGCGTAATTTAAAAATAGATTTCCGAAGTTGAGAGGAACGCAGCAACCAGCGGAGCTCTGAGGCTAACGGCGGCCATGGCTAACCCGTCTGCAGCAGCCCTCTCTCTGCATGGCCGTGTGTGAAGGACCGCTGGCTCTGATGACGATTTTTTTGTTTTACTTGTCAAAATGTTCATTTGATTTGTGTTTATCTGACTGTGTTCATTATAATTCCCCCACAAAATGAAAAAAGTAAGAATGTATTATTATCTAGACACTATTAATAACAGATCCTAACTAAAAGATCCATATTAATTATTTATTATTATGAATTCATTAATAATATTATTAATTAAATAATAATACCGGGCAGCCGAAAATCATGATATATTGCCAAATCAACTTTTGTCCCACACTCCTAGTTAACTGTATCTCACAGCCCCACGTTTTATACTAATAAGGGAAAAGGTAACGAACCAGCGACAAAAATCATGAGGAATCCCACGATCATTAAGGCAACGGTGCGCCTGCTGTTGCGTGGAGGCGCGGGCCTAAAGCTGGGAGAGCCGGGCGCCTCCGCACCGTCATCCACAGCGTAGTCTGACAGGTTGACTTCGGTGTGCCTTTCGCTGTTCTCAGACGGCTGCAGCGTGAACCTGCTGTACCGCTCACTCTTCATCTGCAGGGAGGCGAAACAAGAGCACAGAGCTATGAGAGCAATGCGGGCCCCTGATGCCTCCAGCAGGAGGACCGACATAGTCAACATGAGCTCAGGTGTAAAAAGAAAATATCAAACAGAAAATACAAAGTGAAATGTGCTTTTTAAAACTCACCATGCTTTGAAACGCTGATCTAATCCGCTCCATGGTTCCTGTTTTAATAGAGAAAAAAGGTCATGGAGCTATGATGTAACAAATAAAGGAGAGGAGGCAGAAGCCCCAGGTGGAGGGGAGGACGTGAGGCGAAGCATGACTGCTTTTTCCACAAAGGGTGGAGACCGTTTTATTTTCTATGTAAACCTGCTTATTTCCTGAGACCGAGACAAAAACTCTGTTTTATACACACAGTTCTGTTTGTACATCATATAATGTGTGCCTTGTTTAAAGGGTTCAGCTGCTTTTTACTCAAACTAATGCTGTAATTATTACTGAAGGACCTTTGATCAACTAACTGATTACTCAGTGATTCAGCACACATAAAAACATTAATCATGGGGCAAATTTAAACTGAATTACGGCTTTTATAAACAAACCAACACTAACATGTTCAAATAGTTTTAAATGAAACCTTTCTGAGAGCTTGGATTGTTAAGACGAAGAGCATGAAATGTTCTGAGCTTTCAGGGCATCAAAGATTTCATTTATAAGAGCTGAAGGAAAACTTTTATAAAACCCAAAGACCGTTTATTGAGTTTAACATTTAACCTTTCTAGGAATTAATACATCTGGTGAGGCGAATCAAAAATGCAAAAACAAATCAATATTTGTGCTTTATATGTGAACAAACTGGGTACAATTTAGGGATGCAGCTAACATCTGCCCATTAGTTTTCAGATTAATGATCAGAAAGTGAGGTTCCTTAAAGAACTTTTTCTTTTTTTTTTTTGCAGAATTAAACCAGGTGAAACTAAAATGTTTCCGCTTGTGCAGTTCTGGATAGAACTTTTTTTTTTCTTTCTTTTATGCAAAATAATTACATTTTTTCACAATCCTGATATAATTCCTGCTCTAAGTGGGTTTCCCTGTCAGCTGTAGCCAGGTTTTAGTCTCTATACTCCAGTTTATGATTAATGGGTAACTGAATTAGGTGACGATTATTTTAATAATCCATAATCACGATTAATTCGATTAATTTTTTAGCCCTGGTTCACTTTATCATACACTTGATTTTGATTAATATAAAACAAGCTGATTGACTAGAAACCCACTAGAGGAAAATCATGGTTCCAGTAATACGAGCCAAACTCTGACCGGTTGGTCCAAACAGGACGCATTAAGGATTTAAAAATGTTTTACGTTAAATCATTAAAAAAAAACAGAATCACAGTTTCCCACTGTTCAGTATCCTTTCAATGAAAAGCTAAAAATTACCCAATTTTGACAGATAAGTAATAAAAGAATGTGGTAGTTTTAATATTGAAATGTGACTGTAGTTCATTCTATTGCAATATGCTTTACAGCAGTTAATTGACTTTTCTTTGTTCAACTATCAGAAAGTCTGATCCAACTTATTCATATCCGTAACAGTTAACTGGAAATATTGACCATAACATTAAGAGTGTACCGCAGGTTTCTGCAGAGAGGATGTAGTTTTGAGTCCAACAGAAATGATAAAAAGATTAGCCCCGCTGTAAACATTGAAACTGGAAAACCAGCAGTGGAGCTGGTTTACAATGTGCATGTTTCTAAGACATTACAAGGCTTCTGTTGGGCTACGCTATAAAAGCCTGGAACTCATCGCTAATCCAGACATTTAAAATTAAAAAATCTCCCTGGGTGGGAAGCGAAACGTCTTTAAACTTGGAAAACAAAGTCCAGTGGTTTGTTTTGAACTTTTTGCAAGAATTAGATGTGATGAATCAATTATTGAAAATATTAATCAACTAATTTAATAATTTAATCGTTAACTGTAGTATAGAGACTCTGACAGAGCGACCCACTGAGCTGTCATTTTACTATTTTTAATTATTTTATTTTCTCTTATTATACTATATTTTCTTTTGCTCTATTGCACTTACAAACTTATTTTTCTCGCTTCAAAGGAGGCAGATATATCCCAGAAGGCTTTGTGCGGGGAACTCTCTTCGCAAAGCATTATGGGATTTGCTGTCACAGCGGCCCGCTGTCGCCATAGGCTGTAGCTAACTGACAGCAGCAACTAATAACAAAGATGGTGCAGGCACTGCACAGT